TTCTACGTCTTTGAACATTTTCTTATTTTAATAAGCGATTCAATAGATGAAATATAAAGAGGTTTTCATATCTTTCGCGCATGCATTATGACATAGTTTTTTTTTCAAAATTAGAATTCTTATTACAAGTTTTTTATTGTATTTATATCAAAACAATTTTTAATTAAATTAATATTTCGTTGCTACAGAAATATTTATTTTGTTGGAAATTTTTTTGTTCTACTTTTTCTGTGTACGTTATTAGAAAAAAATTTCTTTTTGAACAAAGAAACAAAGGATAGCATTATCGATATCTATAATGTTCTGTGAGATCCTGCAAGCAACAATGTGAAATGAATTTGTGGAGTATGATTCTTCTCTAACGGTAATATTAGGAACACCTAATTACTAAACGATAGTAGTCATACACGAGTGCGTACAATTTTCTTTTGCATATGCTTGAAGCATATAAAATACGCTCGCTCAATTATGAAATTGCATTACTCGGGAAAAGTGGAACAAGTAAACGGATTAAAGGCATGTAATGCACGCGCCGCTCGAGGCTGTTACTGTCTAGTTTTATACGCAAAGTTTACAAGCGCATTGATGCGTTTACCCGATCAAATGCCTGCACGATCGTCTGTTACATTACCTTCGTTGTTTCTATTACAAGAAATATTTATGTTCGTGGTAATTTGTCACGATTGCCAGTTTCTAAATGTTTACATTGCATAGTACTATTAAACGCTATGATACTAAATGAAGTAAAATAAAACGGAAAAATAAAGTTTCAGAGATGCAAACTGTTATGTATAGAATATTTTATACTGCATGTATTGTAGTTTTATAATAAATTGTACAGAAACTGTAAAATAAATTAAAAAATTTTAAGAAATTTAATTTAGATGTTACAGAAAAAATAATTTCAGATTTATTTAAAGATTATAATTAAAAGGAAAACAGATTTATCAAATAAACAGACAATGTCAGATAAATTAAGACTTTAGTTTGAAAACAATCTTTGGATTTAAGTAAAATAAAAAACTGCAAATTTATTTTAATTATCGCCAAGAAGAGAGAAAGAGAGAATATAGATGTTAAGAAATGTTAACAAGAATAAGAATCTTTTATTAATATTTATACCCAAATAATTTTTTTACTATACATATAATTAAGTATTATTTTTATGAATTTTGTTTTGGCAAAAATTATTATAAAAATAATTAAATATATAACAACATAATAACTAAGAATATCTAGATTCGTGTTGTACTTGTAATAAAATTGGAAAATATGTAATACTCAGGAACATTGTTTTCTTATTATAAGTTTCTTGCACTCTTGGAAAAGTTTCTTTTTTGTTATATATTAATTTCCTTTCTGCATAATTGATATAAATCTTTTATTTTTATACAAACTACTTTACATCGAAAACTTAAATGAGACGAAGCATTAGCACGTACTATTTATAGCAGTTTAGGATGCAGAGCGGTAACTCGCGTTCAAGTGTCTATAGATCGTATAACACTTTGTAATACACCAGGTGGTTCATTTGGATATTAGGCCATAGTAACGCGTATCCCCGGATACGAGTAGTGAAACTTTGCCTACGGTTAATCGAATCAAGCAATCCCGCTTGAGACGCCGAGCCATGCTTTAATTAGTAGCCCAACCTCGACCGCTTAATTCACTCGCATTTCGACCTTGAATGTCGAGTCTCTTCGTCTTGCCCTTAACGCGAATACCGTTACTCTCGTTCTCGCGTCCAGACAATAAAATTTCCATTAAAAGTGAAATATCCGTTTCTTTCTCTCTCTCTCTCTCTCTCTCTTCCTCGAATTTCACCGTTTTTGATTACGAGACGCAGACGTGGAAAGTAGGTACGCGACTCACAGAGACGACGATGTAAAAATTTATTCGCTCTGGCCGTACTTATTTCGCCCTTATCTAGACGTCGACGCGGCGGGATAAGTACCGACGAAAGAAAAGAAGCAAAAAATAAGTAAGAGAAAAAGGAAGAAGGGGTTGCACGGGGAGAAGACGGAAGCACGAAAACGTAAAGAGACCGGATGAAGGTGGAAACGAGGGAGACGAAGTTGGGGAAAACCCGGCGAGCATTAAGACCAGATTGAAAATTGAATTATTAACGAGCGACCTGCCGCCCGGCATGTAAATCATACGGAAATATTACTTTTCTTTTCCGAGGGAAAAATGTGGCTCGAACGCGAGACATCATCCGGATGCAGTTTCGTTTCACGAGCAATCTTCTCTTTCTTCTTTTCTTTCTTTCATTTTTCCTTTAATCTTGAATTTAATTTTTTTCTCCCTTTTCTTTGGACCATTCTTTCACATTGGTTAAACGTTTCTTGTCCAATTTTACGCCACGTCACAAGTTATCGTTCCCATGAGACCCACTTGTGTAAAATGCGGCGTACGTTACGCACATTACGGGTGTTCGCTTATTATCACATCTAATTTATATCGCTCGACGACAAGCAATACATTGAATGACGTGAAATAGGAATTTTCGATTGTGTTATTCTAGCAACAGTTTTAGTTTCTACAATTCTAAATCTAAATATTTATAAAGCTTAAATTTATATAAAATTAATAACAATACACATTTTCGGCATTTTCGCGGTTCTTATCCATTTCTGAAGTTCCCTACCTTTTCTACTTTAATTAGATACGAAGCTTTTCTAAATACAAAGCTTAGTCTGGAATTGCGTAAGTGTAATTGTAAGTAGTTGCAGTTGTAAAAATTGGCCAATCACAGTCGAATTTTCTTCTCACATTCAACTGTGTAGATCAATTCTTACCACAACCGCTTATAACTACGCTTACGCAATTGCAGACTGAGCTTTACATTCAGAAAATATCATTGTTGAGGATATCGTCGCGACTAACATCTCGCGAAATGAACACCCTGTACATGCGGTTCGTAGTTTCAGTTTGCTGTTTTATTCACTCTCCCGGACAGCTAATATACCTCGTTTAATTGAATACCAAATATTCCTCCATCAGCACGACATGATATTTGTATAGAAGAGCATCGTCGATTCTCACGGACGTGACCGTAACTTCTTCCCCCATGCCCTCGGGATAATTTTCGCGAAATTTCTCGAGCATTGTTAGAACGAAGCGAGAATGCAGTAGCACCACTGCGACCCGCTTCCAATATCCGCGAGCGGCACTGACAGATGCGCCTGTACTGCAGCAAACCCCGACTACGAGGCAGTCACGAACGGCTGGTGCGCCAGGCGACACGTTGCAAACGCAGAACGTGGTGAATGGGAGAGTTGGAAAGTTATTCGGGACGCGTCACCATTACCACCGGCAACACGCCCCTTTTTGCGTCTCAAATCAATTTCTACAAGAATTCTACGCCGATACTTGTTTATTTTTTTTTTTTTTAATTCGAGACGCTGGCCCAGGGCAACTTCTAAAGAGAGAATCTCAGCAAAAGACATAATTATAACAAAAGATCTTATATACTCTGTTGTATATGATTGTCATTCCGTTATACGATTTTTGCACGGAAAGAACAATGTTGCTGAAAGATTTAAAATTTTGCTGGATATAGATCTGAAATTAATATTTTGGAATAATTGGTTTAACATTTTAATAAAATTATTTGCAGATTTGTATATCCAGCAACATTTTAGATCTCTCAACAAAATATTTCTTTTCATGTGATATTGCTTTGAAAATATCAAAGAAAGAATTGCGTACACAATGAGTAAATGGAGGAAAAATGAATAATGTACAGTTCAACAGGCTTGCATACACATTTTATAATATTTAGAGAGCTGTTTTTACTTGCCTATTAAGGTACATGAAATTACACAACTGATAATGGCTTATTGTGATAAAAACAGACGGTGTAATATATTATTGCGGGGAAGAACAAAAGTACTGTACATTCCCCATTGTTGTTCCCATTTCTACAGCACACACGTTGCAATATGTCATAGTCAAAGCTCGGTATTAATGATCGCATACGTACTCAGAGACAATTACACGTGATTTGTTAGGCGACTATAATTTAAACGGTACTATACGAATGATACTACAAATATTTCGCGTTTACAAATGGTTCTGCAATCGATGGCCGATTAACGCGTAACGTTTAAAGCGTACGATATGAGGATAACGCCGCTGGTCTTTGTTGTATTTTTTCGTCGTTTCGGATAAACTGATGAAGAGAGTGTTTGTATTTTGTATTCCGATGCGATCGTAGGCAGCGTAGATTGTGAAAACGAGTTGCAAAAATCTATCGGTGCAGGCGGCCTGCGGCAAAGAGGAAAATCAAAAAGTTACACTTTTTTACGCATGTCATATTTTTTCGATGACACTCGACTTTCAATCCTTTTCAATCAAAGTTGTTATTTTTATTTACGCGTTTTTTATTTATTGCACTACATGCTTAAAACTCCATTAAAATGCGCATACAAAGCTTATTAGCATGTTTTAACGTATTATAACAGTACTGTTACATATAAGATGCGACATATATTGGTAGAAAGACTTGTTCTGTCATAAATAAAACTAAAAAATTATAAAATTATAAAACAGAAAAAGCACTGACATTATTTTCAGTAGAAACACATAAAACATGTAGCAGTTTCATTACAGTATCTAAAAATGTTATATTTTTTTTACAAGCAATTATGAAATATTTATATCACGAGAAATGTTATTTCCAACAAGTCCATCGTGCAAGTTAAAAAAGTTAGCTTTTAACGTTTAATTAATATATATGTTTTAAAAATTCAAATTTTGAAATTAAATAACATTTTAATTCTCCCTATGTAATATTTTATTAAATTAGTCTTTTTATAATTATATGAGGTTATTTGTCGTAGGACTTACAAGAAATAAGAGTAAGATGGTACATTAACGGGGGATGACAAATAATTAATGAGACTCTGTCGGACTTACTACGTATATATATATATATATATATATTTGTGCGTTTCTTGATAAATAGTGAATTGTTGGCGCACACCACGGAAACTATCGTTTTGTCGACAGCTGCCATATCGGCAGGAAAGGATCCTTTTCCCCGGCGAATGTAACTCTTTTCCCGCCATAGCAATAGCTCCAGGCTAGTATATACCCGTATAACTATAGAAATAACGAATGTGTGTATGGTGCATCTATGCAACAAAAAAATAGGTTCGTAAAAAGTCATCGGTCGGCCGCACGGGAATCGACATTTCCGCTTCCGGCGGATCAGACGACTAACAAACGCGAGTACAAAATGGTCTGCTCTGCTTAATTGAGCGAATAACATGGAAACGATTCGTCAAGCGATACCGCGTGAAGGTATTGCAAAGTATAAATGGATTACGTACAACTATGTAAAATCATTCGGGAGGCGAACAAAGAGAGCAAAAGTATAGCACAAGTTTTGTGTATTATATATAATTTTATTCATCGTTAAATCGCGTATAATAAAAATTAAAATGTTAACGCACATGCGTGTATGACTAGGTATATTTATAAAATTTATTTTTTCGCTACACATTCTCACCATCAAGCCGCAGGTGCGTAACTTATCTTTAGCGTATACACATAATGGATAAAAAGAGCAAGTAAATATATGTACACACGCAATAAACTCTTTTAGATGATCTGGGCATTTATAACAAACGAATATACACTATGTTACAGAGAGAAAGTGGTAAAATAACAGTTCACTTGGAATTAATTTCACATTTTAATTATAATTAAATTTTATAATTATAATTAACGTTTTATCGCATGTCAAGATTGCTTTCACGCATCACACAAGAGTTTTACCGAGACAGTGTAAATCCCTGAATAAATAGGCAGACATCACGCTACACTTAATTAGACTCGATGAAATTGGAGGTGTATTAATTTAATTGGATCACAGTCAAGTTTTAATTCAATTCGAATGTTGATTCGAACTTGAATGTTGATTTTCACTTACTGTTATTTTAAGCTGATGGCAGAGAACGAGATGTAACTGTCGTATAGTCGTGAACGTAAAGTAAAGCAAAGGACCACGCGAAAAGTCGTGAAAAACTATTGTATCAATGCGGTTACGTTTTTTTTTCTGCCTTATTTTATCCTATTTCGTCACGATAGTTACGCGTCTCATTCTCTACTTTAATCCAGTTAAGTTTACACCAGATTGTCGAAGGCAATGATTTATAATGATGCGCGTTTCTAAAGTTGACTGACAATGAGAGAAACGGCGTGACTTGCGGTTGTACATGGTGTACACATGTGATGACTGCTGCGTCAGTTTACGTTGACGACTAACACGTACTATTCAGCGGTCGAATCGAGACGATTGTCTATCCTGTGTACCCCAGGTATTGTGAGTATATCCTGGTTGAGCTTCGGAAGCTCCCCTTGCGATCCTGGCCATCTGGACTCGCCATTGAATCTCCCATGCATTCTGAAGCACCTATCTTACCCTATCTCTCCCGCAAGTCCGGAAGGTTTTTCTTGCATTGAGGAAACATTGATCGAGTTTTAGCTTCTTGTTAGTTCGGTCGTTGTATCCGTCCTTCTCGCCAAATTAGGACTGCTGAAAGATAAACAGCAGAGGAATGTATTGGCTAATTTTCGGAGCGTTATTTTGAATCGTAATTGCGACCGACCCAAAAACCACAAATCGAACCGCGAAAATATTCCGCGCACGATATGGGAAAATGAGGATGTTTCAGGATCGCTAATAATCTCGGATTGACTGAATGACGGCTATATTGACTGCTCGTTGTGCGGTTAATAAATAGCGGCTTTGCAAACAATATTCTACCGTTGCTTTAATTAAAATGTATGAAAAGAGCTCTTTTTGCTGCACGAAAGTTTCTAATTATAATTAAAGCATTTTGTGTACTATTTGCAACGAAATTGCATAAAAGTAATTTTCCTACAAGATTGGAAAGTTCTTTCTTTTATATATATAAGAACCAAAAAAAGCTGTATATTTCTTACACGGAAAGAACAGTTTTAGCAAAGTATTTAAAAGTTTAACTAGATACGGATCTAAAAACAATTTTGTTTGAACCATCAAAATACTTAATTATGTACGACACTCCAATTGGTTACCCCATGCAGAAATTAAAACTTTTTGCATCTTTGTCATCAATGTTTAAGCGTCCTACGTAATTATTCTGATAATCCAACCAAATTATTTTAAGATCTACATCTATATAAATTTTTATTTCGGTAAAACCGTCCTTTCCGTGTAGTAGCAGATATAATTTTAGATAACGCTGCAAAGGAATAGGAAAGGTAGATTCACACTCAGATTTAAGGATCGTTTTAATATTCTCGCTATTATGTGCTCGTTATAACGCTCTCAAAGCACTTTTACGTCTCGAAACAAGTCGTGTCTTTGTTCAAAGGACTTTCAAACAGTTGTAAACGTAGATAAAATCGCAGTCCTCGATCGACGACGAAACAAGAAGATATGTAAGAATAAAATACAATATCGTCGGAACGAACGGCTTCTTTCCTTATCCATTTTAGAACTCGGCGCATCGACGATCGGGTAAACCGACGACATTAAATCCAGCTCTCCGGTAACGTCTCGTAAAACCAGTTTTACTGAACTTCCCTGCCCACCTAGCGATTTATCGTCGACCTTTATGGCCAGCCCTTACAAGATAATCCGCGTCATGCGAAAAGTCTTGATGCATGGTGGGCATAGCGTTTACATGATAAAGCCACGTGAGCCTCGTTTCTCCCGTATTTTAAGGGGTCATTTAAAGTAGCACGAGAAAATGGCTGTTAATTTCGCCGAAACGTCGTTAACAAGAATTATTGCTGAAACGAGATATGGTTCCGGTTACGCGCAAGATACACGGGTATTTTTTATCTCAGTTTAAGGACTTTAGGACGTAAAACAGGGTTCCGCATCGATTAATTCATGTTACTTCAATTATATTCAAAGTGTATAATGACAAAAATTATATTAATTGAAAATAAACATTTCAAATATTTAACATACGCGCAGAAAACAAACATTCAATGAATTATATACTTCTCTGTAATATTTATAATATATGTATAATAATGAATAATTCATTGTATATTTGAATATACTATATTCAATGAAAAGTGTTCTTCAGTCTTTATATGCTAAAATTCCTATTTTAGAAATATTAATCACATGTATCTAATACATGTAAATATTGCACTTTTTACACATGCTAGGTATTAATTTTAAGAATTCAATTTTAATATTTAATAATTTTATTTTTCGGATGTTGATCTTTAAAATGACAAAAAATTCATTCAATTACGTTAACTTTAAACACAAATATACATTAATTTAAAGTAGGGAAGACCGGATTTCGTTGGCACAAGAGGTGAGTTGCGTTCAGTTTATGTAGACTTGTGGCAAAAGAAATAATGAAAAAGTTATTGCAAGATATATTTTTTATAACATAGATACTTATCCTTAAGTTTCAGACAATAAAAAAAGAGAACAATGTAATTTAAGGTGCACAAAGTAGATTTTCGAGCTTTTCAATATTTCGTATTAATACTTCTCAGCTTGAGAAAATAAATTTAAATGACATATTATCAAAGAAAAGTTTTTGTTATTATACATGTTATTTTGAGTGATGATAGTAATTTGTTATAATAAAACCATTAAAATCAAATGTATGTAGAGATGGGGTACGTTGACTCATATTTAATGCAACTTATGCAAGGTCAGCATAGATTAGCATGATGTGCTATCGTTCGCACTTCGCACGTGAAAATCGTGAGACGTATCTATCGATGTTCGTGGTGTACTATACGTATACTTATATAAAAAATATAAATAATTGTATCCTGGGCATGTACCATGGAATAAAATCAGAGAATGGAGATTCCGATAGAAGTTAATCCGTTTTCCTCAAAAAGAAAAAAAATACAATAGAAATCTAGAGAATAATTGAACAATTCCGATTGGAATCCATTCTGATTTTGTTCCATGATAGATACTTATAACCTCTCTCTATAAGAGGTCATGTCTTGATATATGTACACTATGGGCAACTTGTCCCATGGTATCTATCAACTTACTCCGCTATATGTTTATTCGGGGCAAGTTGGCTGCAATGCAGCGTGTTCGTATTACACTTACTACAGAGAAACTGTACATTATACAAAATCGTTTCTGTAGCATCAAAATGTAAAAAAAGATTCTTTTTATTATATTAGCATAGTTTAACCGTAATAATCAGTTATTTATAAAGAAGTTAATGCTGAAATCGTGAAAGCTGTGCCAACGAAACCTGGTCTTCCCTACCCCAGAGACTCGCAAATACCAGTTAAGGAAATTTCGAGCCGAATACCGATTAGGGTTAATTATTCCATCTCACCTCTGTTTTGTTGGATTCCACGCTGTTAAGCGCGACAGCTTCAGGTACAGGTTCTTCTTCTTCGATTTTTTCGGGAATACCGAAGATAGATTTGTACATGAATGAGGAAATCAAGGCGCCGCCGATCGGTCCGAACCAATAGACCCACTGATGCCTCCACTGGTTATTCCACAATGCCGGCGCGAACGACCTCGCGGGATTCATACTGCAACCGGTGTAAGGTCCGGTTGTGGTCGCTAACACAATCACCGTTAAACCGAACTTGATCGGCACTGAGTCTGAATTTTTCTCGTTTCTTGGGTCCCAAATAGAACACACTACCATTATCAGAATGGCAGTCGCGATCCCCTCGATAATCAAACCCTGAATCCCGGACAGATCGGGGTGGAGACCAGTCACGCAAAACATATCGGCTTGATCGACCTTGCCAGCCGTTAGATTGTCTTTCGGTGTCACTACCTATAAAAAATATGTATATTGTTAAAATAATATTATGAAACAATAGTTGCATTTTGTTAAATTATACAAATTAAATTATATCGCAAACGTAAAAAAATATATATATATTATTTCATCATATATATATATATATAAATTAATTAACAATTATTAAAGCTACTTATTTTATTTATAAGAACAAATATTTTAATGAAACTTTAAAATGCATTTGTTTTTATTTTATGTATGTTTTTTATAAAATAATATTATAAAATACGATTGGAGATGACTACAGTAAAAAAAAATAAAAACAGACAACTTCGAAGCATAAAATGTATACGAAGTTTTTATTTGAAAGCAATATTCTTTTACTTTATATCTTGAAACGTTTTTGCGCTTGTCTACTACCAGAATTATTAAATGATTCATATTCTGCCTCATTATTTCTGTAATAGATTTATGTTGTCCCTAATCATTGAACTGTAAGGAATACATTTTTCAATAATAGAAGAAAGAGGCAATTGTATCGCTCATTTTACTTACTTTATCTGAACTGTCGCGTTAATATTTTATGAGAAACAAATATCGCAACAGTAAGGCTTTTCTCTGATTACACGAGAGCATTAATTATTAACTGACCGGCACGTGTACTGATTAAACAAAGGTCTTGATCCGCGTTTCATTAAGTACATGATATACGGTAATCATTAATAATTAATATATTATTTTATTTTTATCTCATTATGCAATTCCATAAACGTCGCCGACGTATTTGCCTTGTTCAATCATCATCTTCTTTTTACTGAAATATAACCAAGCGAAACGCAAATTGAACATTTTAATAAAATTCACATTCCATGTATGTCATTCCGTCGACGACATATTGAGCTTAAATTATGACTGAGGATATTCTGACAATCATTACGATCAAAAAAATATTTTTATATTTTTATATTGATCTATATGCCTAGCTATGTCACAACAAATTTAATCATATCATATTTATTGAATTATTTTTATTTGTAAGTAAATATATAATTGAAAAAGAAAATTTAGGATTTAAAAACTCGAGAAAAATTCTGTGTAATTTTGAATGATTTATTTATCTCTATAATCTATACTTATATTATCTATAAATTATTTATCTAAATAATTTATTATCATAAAAAATGAATATCTTATTATATCTGCACGTAATTAATTATAATTAATTCAATGAGTAATTAGATTTCCTTATACCGACCTTCAACATACCGTAACCTAGAATGGCACCCATCATCTGTGACACAAAGTAAACTAAAGCTTCGGAAATGGTTTTTTTCCCAAGAATGACAGCTCCCACAGTGACGGCTGGATTAATGTGAGCTTGACTGAGATGGCCGATGCACTGAAAACACAGAATCAGAGAAAATTTTTAATTGTTGATGCATTAACTCTGACATTATGTTTTAAGACATGTCAAAAAAATTTGAATTGTGACACAGATATAAAATGATGAAGAATAAAATTTAATAAAATGCTGTATATTAGAAAAATTCGCACATTCTGTTTGCTGCACGATTCGCAGCACAATTTTACCACGTCGTCGCGTCGGTAACCTTGATTATGAAGGCAAGTGAAAGGCGGCCGCGACGTACTAAAAATTCTACAATAAGAGTTTGGCTAAAGTGAATAAAAAATATGGAAAAAGATAACAGATACGTAGAAAAAATATGTCACAACGATGTTACTAAAATAATCGTTTGTCTTATATACAGATATCTGTTTTTTTCTTTTTTCTCTCATTTTCAAAAATGTACAAAGTTATTCGAAGTATTTCGAATGAATAATAAATAGGAGACCGAACAGAAAGCTAATTCGTTTTGACTTTTATTATCTCTAAGTATAGACGATCAAGCACCTTGTTGTTTATACATCAATATTATATTTTGTGATACGTAATAAATTCCGTAAATAATATGTAGTTTTGATAAAAATATAAGAGATTAATTTTGAGTTTAATTTCCGATGTTATAAATATGAAAATATATATACCACATGTCAATCACTGTTTTCAATTATTGTAGATAAACTATAGAAATAAATAAAGATTCTCTCTCGGGATATATGGATATATCGAAATTATACCGTTTTGAATTAATTCGAGCCGCGAATGTTATTTAATCATGGAAAATCATACTGAATGACGTTTATACGTAATTGTTATTGCTGTTATTCGTTTATTTAGTATTAAGCTTTCATCTTCTCACTTTCCACATGAAGGGCTGCAATTGTATAATATGACAAAATAGATGCGCAATCTTATTAGAGTAACGTAATATAATACAATGTTATAATGTAGTAAATGTTAATATTTTAATTAATTATAGTATCATAGTAAAATTTATGACACAATATATGTATACTTTAATTACTTGTATCATTATAGCTCAGTATATGATATAATAATTTGTTTGTGTCAAAAATGTAATGCTATAATTATATTACTGTATTGAGAAAGAGGAAGAGATCATTTTTAAAAGAAATATTATAATGAAAACGATATACATATACGATAGTATTGTACATGAAAAAGAAGATTATAAAGAACATACGTAACATTAAGTTGTCATATTTTTTATCAAATATAAAATACAAATAAAGATGAAGTAATGATGAAAAAAAATCATCAAAGATTGCCTACTGACCTGAATTACAACCATAACCGTTAAACCAAATGTCACCGTTATCTGTAAATGGAAAGGCACGACACCGAGACCAGAAATACATCCCATACATCCCAAGAACACTAGCATAGCTGTACCGATCAGTTCCGCCAATCCGATGATAAGAGCATTCTTCACAGCGCCTTCTTCTTGCACCCATTTTTTCAGTCCTAAAACAATTCCTTATTTAAAAGAAAAGAACTATATAACGTACCTTTTCTTATCTCAAAATTAAATATTATATATAACAATCGGAATGACGAATTCCATTCAAAAAATTAAATAATATCTAATATAATTTTTATCTTCACCATTTATTGTTTAGCGCTCCACTGACTTCTCAGTATTTATAGCCTTTTCACATTTTACATTTTATAAAATCCCTCTTTAAGAAACAGTGCAGCGTTACATATGGTTACATCTGTTCTTCCCAAATAGGCGTCATTTACAGAGAAGAGAAGAGAGAAGAGACAGACCGCCTTTTATAACGAATTTTAATTATCTTGATAGCTGTCATCACTGTGACTTATAGAGTATGATCGTGTGATAAAATCAAATGTTTCTTAACACAATTGCATCACTTGCCTCTCGTCTTACGACGATTCCGCATTTTCCACACCGTGTCGATGCGCGATCAAACAAGGACAACTCACGACTACTTACTGACGGAATAACTTTCACGCCAGGTACCGGTATCGCCACTCGAACAAGGTCGACATACGCGGTATCGATAACTCTGCAAGTCGATTGTTAGTTGGAGGAAAAAACAGAGCTACTCATTTTCTATTGATGTAAACATTGTTTTGCATTAAACAAAACTGAGAGATACAAATAAATAAATCTATTTGTTAATTTTATATATATGTAGATATATATTGTATATGTTGAATTACACGTCACTAAATTCGCTTCAAATAATGCTTTATCTTCTTAAAAAAAAACTTAACTTGACCGTACTGTTAAAGAAACATTTTAAGAAATATAATATTATATATCGTAGATACTTTCCACAAATTTTAAAATTACTTGTATAATTAATACGATCTATCTTGAATATGAAGTGGTATCTAAAGGATTTAAAAAATTTACGGAAACATGTATTATTTGCACTCGACTCTCTTCAATTTTTCTGTTAATCCATTAAGTTCTAAGAAACTAGAGACTACTATGCATTTTTATCTGTTTTAAATCCTTGTTAATTTGAATTCTCATCAAAATTTATTTATTGGCCTTTTAATTTTTATATTGCCAGGAGTTTTAAATGACTATTGGTATTTAGGGATAAAAAAAAATTGCTCTTCCTGAAAATCTAGTCAATGGTGGAGTGAGATGTCTAAAAAAAGACATAAATATTAAAATGGAGGTCAGTTGAAGTTTAATAGTCTATTCTATTATTTTAACTTTGAAACAATGTGTATATAAAATCGATTTTTCTAAACTTTTAAATATATCTAGGAGAATTTTTGTCAGATGATAGTGTATAAAAAATGAGGGTACAATATGAGATCCCTTTTTCTCTCTCATTTTTCAAAGTAAAGAAACGTGCTTTTTGATCGCAGGGTACATACGTGTCACGATAAAAAATTGCGAATGCGGTTGCATAATTTATGTTGAGGCATTGTTATAATTTATGATAAACTTTGCGACGATGTGATATATTGTACTTAACATTGCCATATACAATCAGTCGTAATCAGACGTGTAACACACCTACGTCTTTTGGTCTTTCAATATTGATCTTCTCGTATTCTCTCTCGTGTTCTTCAATCTGATAAGTAGAATGTAAATTATCGTAAATCTACGAATTCTGCCAATCAATTATGTTAGCGATAATCGTCGAGCGAACGTTAGTATCTACATGCAAGTATTTTACGGCATTAATTATTCTAATTGAATAATTAAACGCGTAATTATTGGATCAATATGTAACGAAATGAATAATTTAAAGTTTTTCAAAGAATAAATATGAGTACTTTAATTAACTAATTTTATCCTATAATAATATAAAATTTAATTTATTTATTTTATACATGTAATTAACTATCTATTTATTTATCAAAATTTTCGACAAATATTCTGAGGCATTTTGAGCTTAAAATTTTTTTAATATAAATGTTCAAAATGCAATTGTCAATTGTATATATGCTGTTATAATCGTAATTCTTTTTGCTGTTTCGAAAAATATCAGAATTTTTAACTTATTTTAAATAATAATAATTTTTTAATTATAATTACTATATATAAGACATTTTAATAACTTATGTTTATTAAAAAACAAATTTTCCAATCAAAATATTTTTACGTACAGTAAAAGTAGCATACTAATTGACAATGATGTCTATCAATATCACGAAATAACGAAAACTTTATGAACAGTAAATACATTAATAGTCAGAATTGTCAAACCCTTAATGTATAAAATAAACAACCAATATGAATAAAATATAAATTTATGTTGACGTTAATCGAGATAGGAAAGGTATTACAATTCACGAATGAGTCTGCTATATTAATGGACATAAACGAGGTATGTAAAGTAAAAATATAAATTTAATGAAAAAATGTCAACAAAATTTTTTGCGACAATATTTAAGTGTCAGCTTTAAAAACTTGTCGGACGACAGATATATATCATATTAAGAATGCAATTTTTCAAATGTAGGCCAAAAACTATATTATTTGCTTATGATTTATAAAAGCATTTATCTCAGTCGAAGCTGAATCTTTTATGATTTATCCTTTTATAGGGTACATCGCAGAATAAACTATTCCAACAGTAAATAACCTTTTGTATAAAGTATAAGCAAATATATCAATTTTATTCGCTGCTAAAAAAGAAATATAAAAATTGTTTACAATCGGAGTATTTTTTTTATGTGTTTCCATCTTTTCTATAGTATAGTGATAAATAAGAAATACCTAATATTTTTATATAAAATTCTTATAATATTTTATCCAACAATGTTTACAGCTTCAATAGATTATTTAATTGGTATTTTAATTTTTTAGTTTAAAAAATATATTGATTTATAATAATTATTCCAATAATTCTTGCATTATGCATTTTATTTGCATCGTATATTATGCAAGATGCTTTCTGTAAACATTATAAAAAATTATTTCTTATCCACGATTACGATTTTGCTCAACACTGTTGGTCACGTAGGTCATTGATAAAATATTTGAGTTATATTCCCGATATTGTGCAAGACAGGGAAGAATTTAGCAGTTGACAACTCCACTTTCAGAACCTGTCGATAACACTTATATCCAGTGATTGTGAACAGATATCGTGTGATAAGGGTAGCAAATATATTTTTACGAGAAATGACAGCTTTTTATGCATTTAAAATTGGTCATTATCATTATTCATATTTCCACTCCAAGTATTCTTCGCTCGCGTATGATAGGATGCATACATATAGCTAGGTGCAATCTATGTATGTACATATGTGTATGATGCAGATTCGTTTGACGACTAATTGTTTACGATTCGTACATGTCTAATAATCTTCAGTCATTATATATTTCTACGAAGTTCTCTCCTTCGGCGTAGATTATTCGATTGTTTGAGTCTCCATGCCTGAAGCAGAGACGCAATTGCATTTCTATGTTTCATTTATCATCGACGGATACGCGTTTTTGCATAAGTACAAAACACCGTAAAAAGTATCAAGGAAGCATATTTAGAGGTTTATAGCTCTTGTATAATTTTTATTTATATTAAAACAAACAAATTGCTATTGATTATTATTTCCGAACGCTTGGTAATCATTAGATGAAATAATCAGATACCAAAACAATTCTCTTTAGCATTAAGTAACTCAATCTGCAATTAAGTATGCATCTGATGCACATAATGTCAATGCGTTGCAGTCGGAGTAAATCATTACAATTATGCGATAATTTTCATCCGTTGCGTATACATCAATCAATCAAATCCCAGGTTGATCATTAGCATCGACGTTGTGGAACTTGTCTAAAGAAGACGGATGCATCTACGAGATGCGCAAGAAGAAGCCGCCAACTTCTTCGGTCGCGAGACATTGTTGTGCCTCTAATCGCCGCTCAACGAACAACCGTTTCACGCTAACGAAGCTTTAATCTACGAGCTACATACAATCGGCTAATTTTGCAGGAACGCCGCCAAGAGATTACGTGGCAATTAGCCAGTATAATCTGTCTATTAGATCGATGAATACGCAAGGATAAAGTCGAACGTTAGCTGATGCAAATTGACTAATGATCCATGACATTGTATTATATATATCGTGTATACGAGAAATTGACACAATTTTTTGTCTGCTTCAAGGTCGTCTTTAAGAGGATCAGTTTTTACTTTTATTAAGTTCTATTTATAGAATAGTCGGTCTTATCATCTGACGTTTAATGGGTCTTCTACAATAAGCCGTAAGTCACAAATCATAAGTCATAAGCTAGAAATGGACCAATCACAGTCGTTAATTTTTAGTTTCTTACTTCCGATTTATGACTTATGGCTTATTGTAGAAGGCCTATAAAGTTTTGTTCTTTGATTATTATGATTTTATACGCAGAGTTGCTCGGATATTTGTATATCTTCTTTTCAAAAATTATATAATTCGATATATTATAATTATATCATTCTATAATACAACAATAATCATTGTGCTTCCACTTGCTTTTATGAAAATTTATTTTGTTTTTTTTTCGAAAAGGAGAACTAGATGCGATTTTTTTTATGAATTGTATCATTGTTGGTGAATTTAACTTATAAATATACGAATATAAAGCAAATCAGCATTCCGTAGATTTAAAAAAAAATATTTATTTATGTAAGAATTTTATCATTGCTTCTTTCAGTTTTCAACGAAATATTTGTTTGTAACATTTTTAAAAAGAAAATTCTTCAAGAATGGTCACTTTGCAATAATACCAGCTGAGTCTTAAAGTTTACGATTAGTTATAAAGTTGCGTTACAACATGATATGTACATTTGTGAAATCTATGCAGAGGATAAGGCATATCTATGCAGAAGTTATCTTTTAACCTCCGGCGATAAACAAGTTTTTTCAATCACTCACATACTTCTATAACTAGACTGCTCACTTGGATTACACATGTATTTTGTATGTAATAGAAAGAGACAAAAGTGACTAAAAAATCCTACTCTATGCCCACGTATGTGTATACGTATATATGCGAGTAAGTGGGCGTAGAAATGACAGCTCATCAAGCATCAATTATTTAGCACCAAACACGACGGTGAAGTGATCAGTTTAGTAAGTAGAAATCTGTGTTTTCAATAGAGTTAATATAATGGATTCTATAAAAATAGAGGAATATTAAATCAATTTTATATATCACAAAAGAAAAGAAACGTTTACATTTTTTGTGGATTTATCCATTATCGCTTAATCTATTCTACATAGTTTTGTACGTTGTTTTATTGCGGCAGCCTTTATTTCCACGAATGAAATAATTTATCCGGAAAGATTTTTCCCAGTCTCGCTAATTAACTTGCAAAATTAATATCTATGTAACTCTTGTTTTACTTGCATCAGTATATCGATAAGTTGCACAACAACGTATCTTTTTAGAAAATATCGCAGAAAGAATTTTTTTCTAACTATGTTTAATTCATGCCATTTATAAATTGAGTCATTTAGTTATTATTAGCAGAATTCAGATAATCGTGAACTGTCCATCATTGTGTATGCATCGCGATATCGAATAGATTTTATTTTCACACTAATATATGATAAAGGCCAATAGTACGAGTTATCCAGTAGCAACGAAATGAGTCGAAAGTCTAATCTCATGCCGACCGTTGAATAAATACTCTTGCTAAATGATCTTTCGCCGTTGAAATACGTTTGGTAAATACGTAGAGTCTCTGTAAATAGTAATGTCCGATGTCGACGGAATCTTTCCCTGTATGTGTATCGATATCAGAATAAATCAGATAAAAATTTCTGTCCATACCAAGAAACTTTATCTACCATCCGATATGACTTAAATAAGATTTTGTTATTTTATCTGTCGAATTTTGCCTTATAACTGCTAATAATTTTGATGAAATTTTTTATAAATCGTGATATCATTATATCAATATGATAAAATGAATAAATTTGTAATAATAAAAAAAATTAAAAATACACATTATTAATATACTGATACATATATCGTGCACATTAAAAGATACATTAAAAGATATATCACATAATTAGCTTTCTATTTTTATGTTAAAAAAATAAATTTGGCCGAAATATAAAAAAAAAATATGTAAAATGAAGAACATTATTGTAATTTTCTTATATTTAATATTCACAATAGCAATGAATAAAGCGATAAGAATGTAATTCACAAAATTACAAGTATCTCGTCAATTATATCGATAGGTAGTCACCAGTTTTAATTGTACAAAAATTCTTATCGTTCGTATCGATATATTTCTTATCGTATAGATTAAATAAACATCTTATTTATTTTATTCTTTTTATGGTATAAGTCGGTGAAACACGTGTAAGCGAAGTATAAAAAATTATATCTTGAGATATTAATCAGAAAAAATATATATATATAAATAATCTGTTCATAAGAACCAAATGGTATATCGATAAAAATAGTATTTTAAATGAAATAGAAATCTTTAAAGTTACATACTGCAATCTCGAGAAAAAAATTTTTGTAGACAAGAATTTCAAAATTAATGCAGTATCTTTTACAAAAAGTTTTTATAAATCTTTTTCTTGTTGAACGAGATTGTAATAGTTGTATTAATAAAGATAAATTCGAATTTAACGTTACGTAAGAGCAAAACAAATGATCATGAACAAAACTCAAACATATAATAGTTTCTCAATATTATCATAGTTCGATGGTAATGCGATAGTAATTTGAATACTATTTGACTTAAATTTTGCTTTTATGTCTACACAAAACTTTTTGGTTTATTTAAATCGATCAACACCTGTCGTACATCCTTGTTAATATCACATAATTGCATGGAGGAGAGAATTGTCGTAATGAGCCCTTGTTCTGCAGTGCACAATTATCATTTATTATTATATTACCATGAATCGTATTACAACGAATTGTATCTAACGTATCGTGTATACGTGGTACGCGTATATCAATTAGGTTAATGATATAATTGTTTATATTCAATCAACGCATGTAACGTAATTATTTAAAATTATCACTAAATTTACGAGTGTTATAGAAGTTTCTGAAATATATACAATTGAATTCAAAGTTAAAATAATTAACATCTCTAAACTGAAGATTGGAGGTGAATATATCTCTTTCGATATCTAGACTGTAGTCGATTATAAAATTACTTAGGTACTTGACAATCTTATTATTTCTATAATTATGCTCTCTAAATTTCTTGGAATAAAATCTCTGTCAAATAAAGCGTTAAAGTACTGTCACTATTCAAAAAAAGTACAAAAATTTGCACTTTTCAATAAGAGTAACAAATTTTCACACTTCCTTTTAATGAAATTTCACACTTTTGGAGTGAGATTCTTATTTTCTATTATTGTATAATAAATAACAAAATTACGTCTTCCAATTATTATCATGACGAAGCAAAAGTAACGAGACTTTCTTACTTTTGAAAATTTCCAAGGAACAAAAACAGTTTTAGTGAAAAAATATCTTACCTGCGCGAAAATCGTTTCCCGGCATAACGAACGTCTTTGATCCGACAATCACAACACTACAAACACAAACGTTATAGACGATGGAATCCTGATAAGTCTTAGCGATGGAAAGGAAGACAGACACCCGTGCACTTCGTCAGCTGGCCCTCTTGTGGACTAAGAATGATTATAACTCCACTCGGTCGCGGAGCACACGCATGGCCTCTCTTCTCGCGATGTAACGAAGTATACAGACTCCCTACTTCTATCGCTATTCGTTCGCACGTAAAATCAAGCGAGAATGCTAATTTCAGAAAAGTCTCTCGCGGAGAAAAATATTGATGTTTATATGACGCATTAACTAAAATTTTTATTAATATTAGAATAAAATATTAATATTAGAATAAAAAACAATCTGCGCGCTACACACGAATGTGTTGTGATAGATAGATTTTATTAATATTAAGAATGAATTAAAAATTTATATATTTTTATGTTCATATTATATTCTTTATTTAAAAAAATACAAATATATAAACTTCTCATAATATAACGGATTTAAATTTTTTATTCAATTATACGGTATTTGTAATGAATATCGAATTATTAGTTTTGCATCAAATTTTTTTAAGACAAATAATGAATAAAATTAATTATATTGCTAACATTAAAATTATTAATATCTACGATAACAGTTTCGATATGTATTAAGTATAACGAAAATTTCAATTAGCATTATGGTAAAAAAAATTAAAATACTTCAGTTTTAAATTTTAACTAGACCTTAATGAATATGTATCTTGACCAAATTTTGCGATGAGCCCACTAACAAACGACCGCAACTGAGAAATTTTTTATACCACAAACAATGGTAGGAAGTAATTTTCTATGTCGTTAAGCTTCCAATCTTTATCGCAGTTTACAATACTGATGGGAAAAATCGACGAATTCATAGGATTGACAAACAAACAGACGATCAGGGAAGTTATGGAATACCTATTATTACATTTTTAAGTTCTATCATATTTATTTATTGCATAACTTTTTCTTTATTTATTAGATTTTTTGTTTTTGTTAAATTATTTTTGTTGATATTATCTTTACCATGCATAAAATATTCAATCTCTGCGAATATCAGTTTTAAAGTCTGAGGTTACTAATTTTAGAATGGATTGTTTATACATCTCACAATAATGTGGTTTGCTCTTTCTCGATCTCGTTGTTATTTTTATGCCATAACACACACTTTCAAACCATTTGGCTTTCATATACGTCATATAAATATTTTTATACGTCACATGGGTTTTTTATATAACGAATTCTTGACTCGTCAGTTTGTGTGATATGCTAACAATTTTTTTCTTTATGTATAAAACTGTTGTTGATAAAACGCGCATAATAAATTTTTCGTAGCTCTTGACGTGACGATATATGGAACACTGTACAGCATAAATGTAAGATACATATTAGCTCAGTTGGTAATACTAGTAGTAAAATCGTAATCCTGTAATAAATTGCATATTCACGGAATATTTATTACTGGTTGTAAGCTGCTTACATTACAGATGCTTACGAGCGATCTCGAGGCTAGTTTTTAGAAAAAGAAAAATTACTTTTTAGAAATTTTACTTGTCTCTTTTCTAAAATGTAAATCTTTACAGTATAAATTTGTTTTAAGAGCAAAAATGCGTCTTGAAGATAAAAGCTCGTTAAAATATCGTATGTAATTTATTTGAAAAGCCATATGTCATATTCCATTACGATTCATAACACATACACGCAACAGTCATGTAATTCAAAATTCGATCTTATTCCCTACGACGCTTCGCAAACGAAGCTCATGAATTTCGAGTAGCGTTTCGAGGTAGCGACCAGGGTAGGCGTTCATGTAACTTTTTCTTTAAAGCGAAAATGTGAAAAGTGAAAATTTGTATGTATGTATGCACATATACGCACATGCATGCAAACAATTTCCACTTTTTATGTTTCCGCTTTATAGGAAAAAAATTACATAGTCGCTACCCAAAATTTATTATGCGATTTCGCACTCAAGTTCTTATATAGGATCCACAATAGGAATCGTAGACGGTCGTAGGGTCTTGAGTCATAGGAAATTAACCAATCACAGTGTCATACATGAGGGGAATGATCGACTATGATTAGTCAATTTTCTACTACTTAAGACTATAACCGTCTACGATTTCTATTGTAGACCCCGCATTAAAGTTATCTTATTATTATCTATACCAAAGAGGATATAGGGAAGGAAGCGGATATGAGATAGTCCGAAATGTGTGTATTTTATATTTACATATACATTAAGCTACGAAACGTAATTGCAATCGCGTGCACACACGCATACGGACACTCACGCTCATACTCACACGCGTGCACAGATATGTACCGAGTACAATTAAAACTTTGGCGCGACCGACGGCGATGGAGGTAATTTCCTGAATTCACCGAGACTAATTCCGTTATTTCGAATTTCGTCGCAGTAGGAATAAGAGAGAAAGAGAGAGAGACAGGAAGAGTGAACGGCCGTGTTGCGCTGCTACGCGAGAGCAGCCACCTCAACGTCGGTCTTAACGAGCTGCATCGCGTACGTGTACGATATAATGGCGGCGAATTTAGTAGAATTGCGAGCGAGCGAACCGAGTCTGTAATCCATAAATTCGCTAATAATTAATAAAAGCGCGGCGAGAGATCAGCTGGGTGCGGCATTGCTGCGAGATACACGTGAGAGGGTTTTCTTCTTATACGCGTGCGCTTCAAAATCATGAAAAAATGAAGAGAAATCGGAGAATAAAAGAGAGAGAGAGAGAGAGAGTTAATACTTGAATATACCGCTAAACAAGATGAAACTATACATATATGCATTATTCTGGTGCTTCGCTTCGTGTTACACGACATAGAGCGATCATCTTCGAAAGTGCTGGCGATTACTATTATATATGTAAAAGACTACGTAGACAATACAGGAAACATATAAATATGCGTCACGCTGAAAAATATTTCAAATATGCTTTATTTATATATTTTTTCAAATATATAATGCTATATAATACTATATAATACTATATAATACTATAAATATTTGAAATGCATACAACGCTACAATTATTTATCATTTTGATTTTCGCAATAAAATTGTCAAAAGTGTGTTTTATTACTTATTTTTGGAATCGCCATATATTGTAACAATATCCTCGATACAATGTACGATGTACTCTTGCTCTGATATAACTTTTTTATTTGAGAACAAGAATTTACATTTTATATTTAAAATGCATTTTTACGGTATTTTGCGCAACAGTGACGCGGACAAAATAAATAAAAATAAAACAGATTGAAGAATCTTGTTGAATGTAAAACGCATTAAAAGAGAAAAATAATGCGTTAAGAAGGCTTAGTATAGCCAAAACGTACACGTTTATCATCATTAATGTACGTTTGAGAATAAATAATTATTTTTAATTAAGATCTTTTGTGTACTTATTAATTGACCATTATTTTTTTCTTACAGTAAATATAAAATATAATATAACAAACACATATCAATAATTTTTACATCTACTTCACTGAGAAAAAGGTAATTAAAAATTTATTTGTGAGAAATGTATATTTCACTGAAATAAATCTTTATTTAAATACGGCGAAAAAATCGTATTTTTAGCAAATAAATAAATATATATTTTATTTTTTACAATTAATGAGATATATTTCACAATAATGTATATTTGTTATCACAATTAAATTGTTTCATTATTAATAAAGTATCGAAGGAAACGTCGTAAGCAAGTAATATTTGCTTCGCAATACTTCGACACTTTTCTCAGTGTTGCATTTAAAATCAACAAAAAAAGTAGGTACACGGTGCCTTATCTAATAATTATACCGTATTTTTGTACAAAAATAATCCGTTACATCAGTCTACGACACAAAAGTCCTTGTCGCGTGGCAATCCTTCGATGCGTTGCGGTTCTTCGGGTTACAAGATTTCGAATGGAACGTTTTCGAGCATCTTGGAAGCAGAAATCCGTAAAGTTTCGAGCCCGTCTGTTTCCATCGCTCCGCACGAGAGCTTCCTCCACCGCAACTTTTGCAACGTCCTCTTTCTTAACCAAGGAGAATACCAGCGCGATCAGGATTTCTTGTTCAATTTGTGAACCACCGACGACCGGAATGCAATTTTGCTCCACTGGAAGAAAACATGCACGATACAAACTCGGTTCGTAGATCATTCGGTAAAAATGACGTAACGACGTTGTCTAAAAATATGCAGAAGATATTTGAGGAACTGAATGAACGAAAATAGGACAAGCGTAAAAGAATTATTTGAAAACGTGCCAAGTTCGCATGATACTTGCAGAACGCCGATGAAACTTTCGACAGAAAAGAACTACCCACACGAAAATAGTTTTTTATTTGAACAAATAGTTTTTTATTAGCTATGATATATTATTAGTTGTCAAAAAGTTATTTAACATAGCTTTAAACAAATATTTAATACACATGACGATAATATATTGACCAGATTGAAACACATTAAAGGAACATAATGGTAAATGAATATACTTTTATTAAAAGTTATAAGCAATGGAAAAAACCATTAGAAATAAAAAGAGATATGCCGTAGGTGTGTTACACCTATCAGGTATTTAAAGGTTAATTATCATTTTTATTAATTGCTTGTAAACACTGATCATTATATTATTATTAATCTGTACAAAATTAGTACGTTTTTATTAGAATTTAGAAACTTACATACTATTCCGTTTAAGTCTCAACGTCGTCCAAAGTGTCCACATCCTGCGTATTCTCTTGATTTTTCAAAAACAAGAATCGATAGATCAAAGTCGTAATAACGGCTCCTCCAATTGGTCCCAACCAGTATAACCAGTGATAGTGCCAGTGGCCAGTCCAGACTGCTGGTCCGAACGATCTAGCAGGGTTCATGCTGCAGCCGGTATGAGGGATGAAAGCAAGACATAGCATGGCGACGCAAAGGCCAAATTTCAATCCCAACGAGTCGGTATTCTTCGCGTTTCGCGAATCCCAACCACTGCAGGCGAAAAAAACAAGTACACCGGTAGCAAAAGCCTCAGCCGCGATTCCATGTCCGATCGCGATAGCCTCATTAACGTCTGTCGTGCAGAACCTG